CCCCCAACGCAGAAAAGTAATCAGATCCGTTATCATGCACTGCATTCACGCATGCATGGGATGAAGACAAGAAAACGCTTCGTATGGGGCCCGAATAGATGCACTGTAAAGCACGTTGGCGGTCTGTGACCCAAATGGCGCTGAATTAGTATAACCCCAACATACTGCAGCCAGGGGCGATTCGCTATGATTAACAAGTTGTGTGCAGGCAGCTACCCACATTCAGCCCCACTCGCCATGAGGACAACTTGCATAACCAGCATTAGTAAAGAGTATTATCCAGCAAAGTCACAAATACGGGAAAGCGTTATGACCAACTCACTTACAGTAACCCACCAGTGCGCTATAAAAATAACCACACGAAGCGCGCAAACAAACCCGACTCAAAGTAATTCCTTACTTGGTTCCAAACAGAGGGGTTTAATTGCAGACGCCCACCCAGTGGACGGGTAATACGTAAACCGATGATTGATTCGTCAGCTTGTTAGAGGTCATTTAGACACGCGGCTAGAACTAGCCAAGCTTCGGGGCAGACATGGTTATGCCCTACGGGAGGATCATTAAAAAGTATGACTTAAGGATGGCAACAAAATACACTAAATTATGTCACAGTATGGTCGCAATCAATAGAATCACAAACCGGTGCGTATTTATAGGCCATACTATGATCATGTCACAGCTTTCTCAGAACAAAATACGAAGTTTGCCCAAGCGCCAAGCTAAGAATACCACCAAAAGTCTAAAACCCAAGTGGTACATGTAGGACCAACTTTATAAATTTACTTCTCCCTTCCATGCAACCTTGCAACACCTTTGAATTCTTTAGTTTATGAAATTGAGCTGGAACACACGGCATGCGCCTGTGACATGAACCTTTGGATATGCAACTTGAGATTTCACAAAGACTCAAACAGCCTCTACGAATAGCTTCGACCACTGAACGAGGAAATTAATTTGTCATCTTAACGAATGTATATTAACTGATATTTACTTGCATTCACCACTCATGGTCTCCCAGTTCTCGGAATATAGACGCTCCTGACAGGCAGAGGTGAAGACAGCACTTTCCAAATTATCATCTGCCTTGCAAGCATTCGATGAACAATCTGACTCACGTGCCACGAAACAAATGTACTTCGCTAACCGAAGCATACACACTTAATCATAAGTTGGACCTTCCGAGTCGACAGGATAGCCGATATAGGGTTGTTTTATTTTAAAATATAACAAAATCACCTTTTAGGATTGAAAGTCCCAAAAACTACACAAAGCACCCCCTAAGCGTCATTTGAATAGATTCAGCAGCTTTGGAATCGTTTCTAATTTAAGTGAGAAACACCACACATCTTTGAGCGTGATACAATGCGGGTCGGACTTCACGCATCGGAAAATTTACATGGTCTGCGTTTAGAACTAGTGCCTCGAGAGAATCATAAACCAGGAAACCTGCATATTATTCTAATAGCGTTGAAGAATTGTTAACTATCTCTTGACATCTGAAACGCGCTGACCGTGCACAATGTCTACTCCCACCATGTTCTACTCTGCATAGTTATGTAAGTGCCTTAACTGCACTCCCAGTTCGTGAGACACCGACAAGATAGAGCGGCACGTTTAGGGCTACACGGGGCGCGCCAGTCAACTGCGCCCACTCAACTCC